ATCGTCGAAGCCGATATTCCACAAGTATGGACCTAGCACCGATCCCTGAGGACATCCCATTGTAAGCGCCTTCGACACAGAATGATGACCAAGTCTTAGTTTAGTTGTACCTTGTGAAAAGTACGAAGAGATAAGGGAATAAATATTTTTAAAGCACCCCCGTGATTTTAATTTCAGCAACAGCATGGGCCACCATGCGTTGTCGAAGGCGCCAGATATATCTAAGAAAATAGCCAGCACGTATTGAAATTTTGACTCTGTGACAAACTTTCTAACCGATATAACAGCGTCAGTTGTCGATTTACCCAACGTAAATCCAAATTGTCTATCATGAAATTTGACTCCACCTGGCAGAAGCCGGGGCACTACAAGACGTTCTAAAAGCTTTCCTAACGATGGTAATAATGTGATTGGTCGGTAGGATTTAGGATCATCCGGTGGCTTGTCGCCACTTTTTGGTATTATACGAATATTACCGCACCGCCATATACGAGGAAATATTCCTTCAGCAATGCAACGTTTAAAGACAGTGAAGATCGTGTCACCCGAAAGTTTACAAGCTTCTTTTATCATTTTGTTAGATATTTTATCATCGCCCGAAGCCTTGTTTAGCGGCAACATATGGACAGCCATATTATGGGAGTTGTGAAAAAATATGTAATCCGCCATGTTGTGGCGACGGCTATCTTAGACCGATTTTCATCAAACAGCTAAGAACACTCCCGACCAATTCACCTTTGAAACAAAATCAAAATCTATTCATCCGTTCGGGAGCTACGATGCCATAGACAGACACACACACAGACACGTCAAATTTATAACACCCGTCGTTTTTGCGTAAAAAATACGATTCCAATTAAATAAAGAAAAATAGGTTTCTTTATCTTTACACGTGTCTTAGTCTATTAATGTTGGAATTTATTTTACTACTGAAGTAAACTGCTATTGCACTAAATGGTTACATTACCTACAAGTTATTCTAAATTCAATAGTTAATGACATGGTTAGAAAGCAAAACTGTTCATTATTTAAAGTAGTCGATCGAATTTATCTACATATAATATTGATGTATTAAGAAATATGTAGATGTTTATTTAGACACTAGCTGACCCGCGCAACTTCGTCTGCGTCTCTCAATAGTAATAAATTTTCTCCGTTTTTGGAACATTCTTCATTGGTGCTCCGCTCCTATTGGTCTTAGCGTGATGATATATAGCCTTCCTCGATAAATGGGCTATCTAACACTGAAAGAATTTTTCAAATCGGACCAGTAGTTCCTGAGATTAGCGCGTTCAAACAAACAAACAAACAAACTCTTCAGCTTTATAATATTAGTATAGATATAGACTGTTAACAGCAATGGGCTTGCCTGCTATTACGTAAATAGGACCACAATAACAGTCGAAAAAGGTAAGCGTTTAATCCTCTGTCTACCCCTTCGAGGATAAAGAGGTGACTGTATGTATGTTGATGTAATGTCGATCGAATGCGTATAAAACTGTTACGTTTACATATATGTCACACTGTAAACGTTCCTTCAAATCGCCAAAGAGACGATGCCCATTTCAGTTTCGGAGCTTGTACCCATTCTATTATACAAGATGTACTGCTAGAAAGTTTCTAGAATATCTACTCAAATATTTTAATTATTAAACACTAGCTTTTGCCCGCGCCCCCTTAAATGTCGGTTATCGCAGTAAAAGTAGCTCATGTCTTTCCTCAAGAATCAAAGTATCTCCATACCAAATTTCATCTAAATCGGTTCAGCGGTTTAAGCTTGTAGAGGTAGAAGACAGACAGACACACTTTCGCATTTATAATATTAGTATGGATGTCAGACTGTAAACGTGTTTTCAAATCGCCAAAGAATTTGCAAAAAAATTGTACTAGGTCTAGGAAGTTTCTAGAAAAGCTACTCAAATATTTTAATTTTGCAAACAATGTCTTTCTGAAAATAACACTGATTAAAAATATTGATCTTATATATGTTCAATAACCATTTACGTATACTAATTTAATATGTTCGAGCTTGATTCAAAAATGTAATTGTTTATGTCGTCAAAAGATTTTGTTTAATCGATATGTCATATGACGATAAGGTTCATAATAGTACGTCATATCGGTTTATAAAAGTAAGCATGTGAGTGATAGTCATTTCTACAATCTGATGTAGAAATGATGTCTACAATCTGATGTAGAAATGATGTGGAACTCCGCCGACTCCTTCTGCGAACAAGTTACGCTTGCGAAGGAGACGGCGGAGCGGGACCGGCAGAGATTTAGAACTCTCCCGGTCCTTTAGGCCCGGGAACGGGCCAGGTACCGTATGCGACTTATAGAGGACGGAGGTCGTAGAACGATCTTCGTCCTCTATAAGCTCAAGGGTGACAGGTGAGGCCATCTGTCACTGATTCCCACACACGAGGGGGTCATCTACAGGCCGTAGATGGCCTGAGGTCCGTCAGGGTTCGCGGGATTTCCTTCCTCGGATACACCTGGTACCCCGGCTACAGGTACGGTGGTTTTTGGTTAGTTTATGTCCGACATAACCACCGGTGGGTTGCATCGGAGGGGATTTACGAACAAACAAAAAAAAAGGGTAAATAAATATTTGTCCTTGCCTCTGTACTCCTTATCCTATTTTACCTTCTCCCTACATCCTGCTTAAAAATGTTTACTCATTGTTATTGCATCTAGGATGCGGCCGTCTAAAACCCTTTGCCATTTTACACATACATGGGGGCAGGTAGATGAGAGATACCGTTCACAAATAAGTATGCTTAGACGTGTTTTTTATTTTTAGAATCCCTAGTTATACGTAGATTTTATGCATAATACGTAATTTGGATCTTTGTGGAATCAATCAGCAACCACTCGAGTGTGTGTGTGTACTTAGTCTTACCAAAGGGTATACCGCAATAGCTCTCAAATAGTTTACACCGCAGTCGTGTAACATTGTACGACGCGGTTATGTTGTGGTTACTAAACGACCTTCATACGTTATATCTGCAAGCTCTTATCTACAAATTTATATGTTTATCTATAAATTGATATGAAAAATTTTAATATCGCGTTCCAAGTTCAGCAGTCTGTAGAATTAATGTGAATTTCTTTGTGTAAATATAGAGTTTAGGTTCACACAATGTAACTCTTTGGATTGAACTCTCCTGACAATAATTCCATGTTTAGAGTTGACTGTGTCTGTTTTATATTTTTATTCTGTAACAACACAAACAAACAATAACAACATTCACTATAATAATTAAAATTATCGTTGCGAACATTAATTTAATTCTGAGAAGTTCCGCCCTGACAGAGTGGCTATTTTAGCATCATTTCTTTTTTTTATTAAATTAAGAAAAAACAGCTTGCGTACTTTATCTTGAATAGAATATTAAAAAATCAGATAACATATCTAATTAAGAATCTCGTTTGAATAAGACCAGAAGGAAAATTTTCGTAATTAAAGTTCGGTCTCAATTCAGTTCCGATCAACTTTCGATCTCACAACTGTCATAAATGGTATTTTCTTAGTAAAGTATTTATACATCCAACGTTGATTGTAATGTCAATATATCGTATTGTAACCGAAAATCTGCTAGTCTTAGTAATAATTTAATATTTTACTACGAAAATACCTTTTATGACAGTTGTGAGATTAAAAGTTGATCGGAACTGAATTGGGATAGAACTTTTATTACGAGAATTGGTCTTCAGACCTTAGATAAATATATCAACGTCTTGGGAACAAGAACCGAGCATAATACGGGTCATTCGCTGCTTATCGTCTCATCGCACTCTAAATAAGGTACGTTCAGCATAAATATTTTTCTACTCAACAGCAATATTGCATAAGTGTAATTTTTTTGCGCAACTAACATGACAAATTAACCGCTAGAATAGGTACGTATGTCGTAATGTTGAACTAATATGTTAATAGCTTCGAGGTTTACATTAATTTGAGTCGTATTTTGTTTATAACTAACTCTTCCGATTTATGTTAAAAATAAATGTTTTAACATTTTTTTTTTGGCGTGGTATAGTAGGCCAAAACCTCTTTTCTAAGGAGAGGCCTATGTCCAGCAGTGGACTAGTAAAGGCTATTACGGAAATTTTTTAAAGTTCATCTACTTCAAAACAAAATTTTAGGCAGGTACCTGGTTCGATCCGGTTACTTCAACGAATGTATTTAGGGCTTTGAGCTTGCGGAAGGCATACACGAACCCGAAATCGCTTTGCATCCGAATTTCATTTTTTTTTTTGTTTATTTCATTAGCCAGGTATAACTTGAACAGTCTTTGTACAGACGTGCCATTATCGATCTCTACATCATACTGGTTGTTTGTAGTTTTTAATGTATCATGTTGCCACGTAATATTATGTTATCCTGGATATTGTTTAAAATTCTTTGCTTTCTATAATGAATTTTACGTTCCATCATTCACGTTTTTATTTGCTTCGCTTATTATTATTTATATATTTATTTATTATATATTATCTGTTACGCTTTAACGGCTAAACCGCTGAACCGATTTTAATGATCTTTGGCATTGAGATACTTCGATTGTTGAGGAATGACATGGGCTGGTTTTTACGGCGATAACCGACATGTACGCGGGCAAGCTGTGGGCAAACGCTACTTATTATATTTTATTGAAAACATACTAAGGAATTTTATTATTTCCTAATACTTCCTATAGCTATATTTATTATACCTAAGTGTAATGACTGTACCTGTACCGACTACAAGAAAGGATTCGATGATAAATGATACTTTTTTCAATCGTTTCAGATATTTTTACAAGTCGGACTTTACAGGTAGAAGGAGCCGGCATTTCCTAAGACTCACTCTGGGAAGAAACGCCGAAACAAACCAAAACTGCATTAATAGTGGTATTTATTTTTTGTAGTAGGATGTTTATGTTTATTTAGAAATGGAAATTAGATCCTATCAACTCCACGTCAGCATTACTAGCTGGAAAATGATACAAAGAACTTACCTCCAAACGCTGTCCTCTTCTCTGAAAGTAGATCTAATGTAGGCACATTCCTTGTTCACGACACTTCTCTCTTCGGCCGCTGTCCTTGCAGCTCTGATCTGTCTGATCAAGTCCCTGAGGCGGGTCGGAGTCGGCATCCGCACTGAAACCGGTGCGACTGTTACGGACGACACACACACATAGAAAGCATCGATCAGTGCATTTGTTAGTAGTGCATTTAGCTAACATATTGTCTATCCAACAGAACTTAAGGAAAATACAATGCGACTTAAACTCATATTTTGCTACTAACTATGAGTCGACTACTAATAATGTCTATGAGTCTCGTTTATCAAATTACTGGTTATCATAACATTAGGATATTTGAAGTTATGATTCAAGATGATTGAACAAAAAGAGATTCTCTTACTTTAAGTTCTCTTGGATAGGTTTATTATTAGTTATTAGAGGGCTTACAATTTAAACTTCGTCTAAAAGATTGATCTGTGTTTTTGCAAAAAAAAAATACTGTATTACTAGCTTTTAACATGAGAACTGAATAAAGCGGAATGGAGTTGTAACTAATCCGATCTTATGAATATTGAGAAAAAGTGTCATAAAAATGTAATTTTTATACCATTTGACATAATTTTCTACATTCATTAACTTTATTTATAGTTTATCTAAGAAAACAAGAGAATCAAAAATTAGACAAGTCCAAAAATAGATCGAAACAAGGTTGAATAACATTAATTTTGCAAACCATATTTTAACACCCCAAGCTGGTTCATATTTCTACTTTTTTTTTCAGATTTAAACAAGTTATTGATCAAAATTTTAATTTATTATGAACAGTATCTTGCACAGGGGCTGATAAATTAGAAAAGTTTTCAAGAAAGTCATTTTCGAATATCAAATTAAGTCCACTAGTTTAAAATAAAAAGTACTTTTAAAGGAACAATTGAAGACTGCAGCTACATACTAAAGTAGTTTTTAAAACTTTAAGTTCAATTAGAATAACTTTCACGCTTCGGGGTAACTTTGCAGCAATAAAGCCGCATTTAGGCTTTTAAAGTTTCAAGAGTTTCTTTAAAAAGATTAAACCAGTAAGCCGTTAAATTGTGTCATTATTTAGCAATTTTATTTTACCAAAACGTTTTCCTTTTGTTGCGTACATAACTACTTTGGCCAAACAATTGTTCTGTATTTAATTTCTATTTTTAGTAAGCAGGATTCATAAATCATTAATATTTGTTTTCCTAATGTAATATTGTAATATAATGAAGAGATTGAGTGCGTGATAATAAAACAATTAATAAACATGGAACGAGAGTGTACAGCAGTACACTAAAACTAATATTTTAGAACAGGAAATAATGTCTCCATTAGGTGATTGTCATCGTAATGACTTTTTAAACTTCTCGGATTATATCCATAATTATATTGCAGTACCAATTAATGTGGCGCTATGAGGGGAACATTTTATCATCAGTGTCGAATATAGAGCTACACCTACTAAAGTACCTAATTACCGTAGCAGAAAAGGCAATACACTGCCTCGCGTCGATAAATCGTCAGATCGGTTTTATCGGACCGCAACCTTAGATGTTACCCGGGGGGGAGGGGGGGGGGGGGTACAAAACAGATATAACAATGTGGTACCGCCTATTTGCTAATTTAGTAAAAATACTTTTTTAGACTATTAATGTAACTTTGCTGAATATACCAGTAACAAGCGATAACATATTAAATGTTGACAATTTGTTTATGGTAGAAATTCGCTTGGAATGGATTACTTAAGTAAGTTTTAATACCAGTAAATTGAGTCAAGTTGACCTTTGGCAATTTAACTAAGTAGCAACTAGTAAATATATTACTACAGCTAAATCAAATTAAATTAGTTTTAAACCAAGCTTTTGTGTAGATTGTCATGCGAAAATTAGAACTTACCTCGTTCTATTGCCTCATTTACCACCTGCTTTATGGTGGCTATATTAAAAGCCGGGTTAAACCTGGAACAATAACACAGTAAATAAATAATGGCACCTATATATATAAATAAAAATGATAACCATATGTATTACTAAAGTTAAACTCAAAACTCGAGAACATCTCGACCGATAAAATTCACATCTACATCTTTTCATATTTTCGAGAAATTCTTTGTGGAGAAAAAACGTAAAAAGTGTAAGGAAAATTGACTTCAATTAAAACAAAACAAAGGCGGGTTAGGATTATCTTTGGTGTGCCTCCAAGTTGATTGGATATCCAAGGCTGTGTGGATATTAGGTAATGTATGCCTGCCCAAAATAAAGTTCGAAGAAAAGCGATCACTCTTAATATGTTTTATTTATTTATTTCCTCTATAGGACTGCGACAGGCCAGTAACTTTCGACAGAACGAAGTCTGTCAGGGCAGCTAGTTCCTAATAAAATCTGTTTAAAATAAGTGACTATAAAGTAAAGTAAGTCGAACTACCCAGAACCACTATATAATCCTTTGGAGAAATGTACCTACTCGTGCGACTTTAAATGTTAGGTGTACTAATACAATTTATTCGTGTTAAACCGCAGTGGGAGCCATAAAGCTGGCACCTAATTGACTGAACTGCTTCTAAGATTCGGCGGCCGGATCTCCGCTTTGAAGAGAGCTTTTATTCCGGCTCCTTGGCCACCACCACACAATAGTGGTGTCGTGGCTCAATAGTATTCTATTATATTTTACTCGCTAACTTATAAGGGTAGGTAAGTCATTATATCCTCATTTAAAAATTGCTCCTAACTGAGCTTTTTTATTAAATCGTCAGAATCATGATGAATTTAGGAGTGTGTGCGAAGTCAGTGACATTTGTACCCGTAAAACTCTTGATTATGTGTTCATACTTTAATACTACTACGCAACGGCTGACGTTGAACGACCACGACACTCCACACACAACAACTAGTTACATAAATTTGATAACAATGGTATAATCATTTTTAAAGTGCCCAAAGGTGTCAATTACTGACTATTGATATCTCCATAAAGTATTATTCTTCAATTAGAATCAATTACGGAGTATATTGAACAATGTAAAGTATAATAGTCATTCAATTTACCTACCAAAGGAGACCTTACTGTTATTACTATTGTGACCTGTTTTGCATAATTTGTTTGTAATCCCTGATGCAAAAATAGAGGTTATAAGTTTGACATATCTGTGTATGTCAGTGTCATCGTAGGTCCCCTCCGACAATGGACCAATTATGATGCGGTTTTTTGTTTGAAAGCTAACGTAACTGAGATGGTTCTTAGCTATAATTTATGAAGATAATCAGTTCATTTCTGTTGGTTCAATCTCACTAACTTGCACAACTCTAATTGTAATGTTACTTTTGTGGTATTTCCATGATGTGGTAACCTTGACCTGATGCTGCAGCCAAATCTTGAGTTAAAGCTGGTCTCGGGGTGTTTAATTTTTTTTATGTGTTATTAAAGAACTTAAATAGAAAGAATTGAATAAGACAGACTATGTTCTGCAACTGTAATTTCTTAGAAGAAAACTTAATGGTGACGAGAAGGGTATTAATCTTCAAACTGGAGGTTAAGATCTCAATTCGTTTATGACAAACTTTAAAGAGGACAAAAATCTTTATTCACTATACACATGTCAATTGTCTATTAACACATTTTTTGTATGTTACAACAGGCAAATATAATTCTCACATACCATCAATCAGACCTTTGCAGATTTAGTTATAAATAAAAAGATAAGTATGCACTTTATTCCTTTTGACAGATGTAGCAATTTTACATAACTTTTTATTTCAACATTTTATTTCTACTAGAGTTTTGCTTAGTGGTAAGACTTTGATCTATTTTAATCCACAAATGGAATATACTATTAATACTTATAAAACAAGCTATTAATTTCCATACTTTTACTAACAAACTTTATGTAAGAATCTAAAGACGATCAGATGTAAATCATATACAAAATGTAATCAAGACCTTATTCTGATTCTGCAATATATTTTTTTACCCTATGAACCCTATAACATAAATTGGTTGATTTATAGATACTTATATATACTTCTACTGCCCATAAACTTCATGTTCCCTAATAATTAGAGAAGTTAGGTTCTTTTTCCTCACATATAAACAAAAATTTGCTTTACTTATCAATGTACTAACTTTCCTTCGTATCTCAGCCCTCGTGTATGTCGGTCGAAAGCGGAACAAACAAACTCCCTTCACATACCTATATGATATAAGTATGGATGTAGATCTTGATGTTAGGTTTAGTATATAATTAACTGTCAAATACTTATGTACTTTAATTAAAGATGTAAAGACAATTGTAACAATAAGAAGTTAACTATATAGATGTATATGTATAAGGAAAAATTATATACTGCATGGATGGCATAGTGGTTTAATCGGTCCCTTACTACTACACTGAGTGTTGTGGGTCTGATCCCCACATGGGACGACACTATGTGTGATCTACAAATTATTATTCTGGGTATGTTGAGTCTGGGTATTTGTTGTGTCCGTTTCATGTATGTTCATAAAGTCCCATGCACACAGGATATATTCCTAATACAGGAATTGTCCTTAAAAATAAAAAAATATAGACTGTCTGAGAAAGAAATAAAAGAACAGGTAACAAAAACTCAAAATGAATAGCGTCTGTAAAAAGTTTAATGATGATTAAAAGTTCATGTAATATAATTTAAAAAGTAGAGTAAAAAAAATAAAGGAGGATGCCTTGAACCATAAATTCCAGTGAATCTCCTGAGAACTATAGACTTAGTTTAGATTTCCTTATGTGTAGTGGTTTTAGAGCACACTATGAATATCATCACTTTGAAGACTCTTTGAAGTTTTGTGAATAGAAAATTGATGATGCATTTTTAACATTTCTGTTTACATTGATATATCATATTGATAAGCACTTTTATCTACTGAGGCTTTAAGGTAGATGTTAAGATTATGTGTCTAATATCAAATGCCTCTTTGCCCCCATCTCAACACTTTTAATATGTAAAACATTTATAATAAGTTCTTTGGTCAATTTAAATTACATTTATTTGTCAAAATGTATATTTTGAGAATTACAAATCTACACACCGATTATTAACTATCAGTCAACATTTGTTTATTAAATCAAATTAAAAATAGCACTTTTAAATAAAGTGTTTTGCTGGTTTATGTTCACGATTATAACTTATGTAATAGAAGGGGTGCTTTGATATTTAATTTTTATGCAAAATATGACATACTTATATTTTTAATGCAATAGTTACAGCATTGTACTATTCTATTCTTCATGCAGGTACTCAAAACAGTAAAACTTAAACAAATGGGTGCTTAACCTATCATTGTACCATTGACTTCTAAACTCTGCACATTGGCACTGATGAGAGGATATTGAAGGTAAATGAAATGAATAATAAATAAATAGATAAAGACTATTTAACTGGTCCTGAAACATTCTAAACGGTAATTTTAGAGACTCAATATTCAATTGCACAGGTGCAATATTTCTATATATATATAGAAGTTAATTTAGTTTAGGTAAGCATAAAAAAACACCAATTGAGATAAATTTTTGACACAATATACAAGCTGCTTCAAATAATGTTTATAATAATTTTTTGTGTCAGTTTTGTTTCTCATTTCTCATCAATGCAACCACAATGAGCCATAGCAAAGCTAGTCTGGCCAGCGTGGTATAGTAGGCCAAAACCTTTCTAAGGAGAGGCCTATGTCCAGCAGTGGACTAGTATAGGCTGTTGATGTGATGATGTGAAAGCTCGGCAAGGCACAGCTAGTGTTTTATAAAAAATTTAAGAATTATGGATTATGATTTATATTACTATTATATTCTTTCTAACCTCTTTACAGAGCTTTAAATGCACAAAAAAAAGTGTCCAACACTAATGAGTGATTAGGGTGGATTGAATTAATAACATTTTATATTTCTATTACAAACATATGTTTTCAAATGTGATATTCCTTGGTATCAAACTTGAGTTAAACAATTGGGTTGTATTTATTTTGACATCTTTAGAATACCTATATAAATTCTTTTCCAAGATGTTTTTTATTTATTTATGGTGTTTGTTTATTACATATCCCTTTAATGTTTTTTTTTTTGACCTGGTTGTTATTTATGTAAATAGAAACATAGCCAAAGAAGCTTAGTACTAAAATATAAACACAGATCTTTAACTACTTCTTCCTGCAGGGTAACAAAAATAGGCATTTATTTATAATTCTTAATTCCATGTAATTCCTTCATAATTTATCCTAAACACATTGAATAATTATAAGAAGTTAAAATCTGGAAAGGGATAATCTAAATACTGACTAACTTAATCTCACAAATATTACAGAATATTTACCCAGATTCGGAGCCGTTCATCTTGTCGAATTATATCCTTTGATAAGTAATAACAGATGTTCTTCACAATAGGTACACGATCACAGGTAATCGTTTTTCACGGTGCCAGGTGCAAAAAACGGGAAGTTGAAACCAGTCAAATGAAAACTCACTCAAATACAAAACTATCACTTAAATACTCTTAAAATCATAACGTAAGTAACTAAAGAAGAATTTACACGTATTTAGTTGGCTCTACAAGCATTTTATTCCGTCACAAACCATAGAAATGCAAGAGAAATCGCACGCCACCTTTGACTAACTTCTGTCATATTTTCTCCTATAGTAACAACTCATGTGCGGTATTTGTTCATTATTGTTACTTTCACTTTTACAGAAAAAAAATCTTATTAGAAAGATAAAACTATTATAATAATTACAAAGAAATAACACAATTGCCAGCTGACATTTCCGTGGTGCGTTGCAAGAAATTCAACATGGCTGCCGTGACTCGCACATGACGTTTGCTTAATTTTGGATCAAATAACTTTCGTACTAGGTATTTCATTGACATAAATAAATATATTTTATTGTTTTATAAGATGCATGTTAAAAAATTATAATCATATTTTAGACTAAAACAGACTGCTCTTGAATATTTGTTGTACATATAAAAGTGACTAACTATAGATCCTGAACGAATGCTACGTGGAAAACGGAAATTTGTTTTTCTTACTATCCACGACTAACTGGCATAGTCTCGTTGATATTCATTTACTTCGAAAATATTATATTGTCATTAGCACAATCGACTTGTTAGTTTCATTATCCAATTTAACCGAAATCGCACTTACCTTCTATTTTGTTCTAGCGGTAATCCAATCGGTATGCAATCGACACTGAATACTCTAAATCAATTTTATAACACTTCTAAAATTGCAAGTTATGGGTCCTGAACGAATGCCACTTATAAAATTTGAATTTTTAATTTCCTTATTGTTCACAATTGACTTGTTTAGATAGTCGTCTGGATACTTATTAACTTTGAAATATTTTATTGGACGTTATCATAATCTACTTGCTGGTTCGTAAGTAGATTATGATAACAGCAAATTAATGAAACTTCATTAAGTAATTAACCGACTTCCTACTTACCTTCTATTTTGTTCTGGCGGTAATACACTCCAATCAACTTCATACATAGGATAGGCCATGGTTATAACACTTAATTGGTACACTAACAACAAATTAAAACCCTTTTAATAATAACATTTCACAAACTATGTCACAATATATTACGACGCCGAACGGCACAAACTGTACCTGCTGTTATCAGAAGTGCTTTATCATGTGCAGGTACTCCTCAAATATCCAGTCATAATCTCTTATCAACGTACAATAAATTTATCACTAAAAAAGGATAGCAATACAGCACTAGTTGCAGTAATATTTTATTGTTAAATGTCAATATTATATGTACACAACAATAGGCTGACGAGTCACATCTTTATCTTAATAGGAAAACTAATTATTATTCATTGCTTCAGTATCGGTAGTGTCGCTCGGTCGGGCGTAAGACATATTATACACATAGCAGGTGAAGGTATCGCCTTATAAGTTGTCTTCGTGATTGCGTGGTGGTCGGTCGACGCTGTTTCTCTTTATGCAGTCCACCAGCCATCTGATACCTTCATCTACTCCATCCCTGGGAATAAACAAGGAATTTAATAAGATCGTAAGACAAATATGCCGTTATTAGAGTTTATATTTAGAGAGACAATTATTTTAAAATACTTTCTACGATGCAATCAAGTTGCTGAAAAATTCTAGGTCAATAGAACATCTTTCCTAACAATACGGACATCTTTAAGTGTAAGGCTGAAAAAACGTTCGGCTAATATTCGTACGTTACATACTTAAGTGTCAAGGTGCATCAATAATAGTGTTCTACAGTTACATAAGTACATAACAGTAAAAATATTTTGTGTAAAATGTATAAAACTGACTTAAAGCCATTGATAAAAGACAAATATTGACAACATTTCAATAATATTATCAGCATTGTTTGCATGAACGTGTTGACAATACCTATAAATATATGTAGGTAAACATTTAAGTATAGGTATTACATTCCGGCTGAAAACTTAAACATAGCGATAAGAAATTGAAGACTAATATTTTTGTTAACATAAAAACAGTTTTTAAAATAATGAATAACTAAAGATTATTTGTGTATAAATATCTTTAAGACGTGGTTAGCATTTTCGTAACACATTATGTAAAACTAAATTCATCCACTTTAAAACAACCAGTTATACGTATTACTAATATTAATAAAGTTATTAGAAGTAGTAATATTAAGGAATTGACACCGATTTTTTTCTAATTAACGCCTTTATTTAAAAACAAATCAATGAATTTTGTAGTTTATATTTTAATAATATATGGCAATTGTATTCGCATTTCTTGTAGAAGAACACTGTCGTTATAACTTTAAATTTCCCAAATGTTATTTTTATGCTTACAAGAATTTTCTTTCTAAAAGTATTTACCAATATTTCTGATCTCATACTTGCTACTGGGACTTATTGAGAATAGGACCAAGGCTTAGCTTTGTTGTTCTTCTTCTATGTACATTTTTGAAACTACTGTCAAACTCAAATCTCAAAAACCTTACATTTTAAAACTCAGTCACCTTTTTACGTAAGAATCTTGTATAAATATCCTTTTATCGGTTTCAGATATTCATCCTTTGAGTATTCCTTCAGTTCTGATACTTATTTCAGGGTATATGTTCTAGGAATCAGTCTACCGTCTACTGCTAAGCATAATCGAATGATAGCATTCGAAACCGGAGTAGGTCGTAATTTCTTTGTTAGAAATTTATATACGGTATCCAAAATGTAGTTATAATTTTTCATATGTAGTCAAGATAGAATAGACACAGACTGTTCTTATGGTTTCGTTTAAGTTTATGTTAGCTTAGACTTGACTCCGAAACGCTATACGCTTTTGGCGCTGGCCAATCGCTGTTCATTATGATGAAGCTCAAATTAATAGCAGCGTTGGATTCCAGCAAGGAGAGGTGCATGATGACCATATAAATATCGCAGGTCAAAGATGGAAGCTGCTTCTAACCAGTCTACTTGGAGGTCATTTAGGGCGACCTGTGTCCAGCAATTTGGCTGAAATACTGATGATGATTATGAACTTTAGTAATAATATTTTCAAGGTTTTCTTTAGTACATTTTAATCAAGGCGCCTTTGGCAATTCTTAAATAATCATTTTTATAAATTCATGAGAAATAACCAAACAAATAGATACCAAAAGTATGTACAGCTAATGGCAATTTTTATAATTATTGTTAATATTTGATTTATAATTATTGCCAATCACCCAATGTTTCCCAAAAATATATGGTAGCAATTATTAGTAGGCATAGGCAGTTGAATTGAATCTCATTAAACTAATCACTAAGCACTTAATAATGAAAAGAAAACATGTCAAATATTGTAATTTAGTAACTGTAGAGGAGTTTTCATGAAATGTCACAACAAACTTACGTTGTTTTAAATCAGACATGGCAGTTAAAAGAACAAAGCTTTGCCATATGCCATTTCCGATTTAAATAACTATTTTAAGTGGCAATGCTTATATGTTTATGATAATGACATCTGGCGCATTTTTTAAAATAATTTGTCTTATACAAGAATAAATTCAAGCAAAACACTCAAGAAGCCACAAAAAATAGATATATTTTTTGATGATTGTAATGTTTACTTGTATAAAAAAGAAAAAATCGCAAAACACTTGCATCTGACACTTGAGTTTTAATGACGTCACTAACCGATATAATGTAGTTAATATCATGATAGTACCATGGTACATGATCATTAACCATAACTAATAATAAACTTGAGTCTTGGTCTTCACCAACGACGGTTAAATGAACCTGATCCTGGTTGGTGTGTGCAGTTTTTAAACATTGCTACTAACTTAGTTACTACTAACGTAATATGATTTGTGATGAGTTTTCGTCAACATTCTTTTGGAGGCTTTTTCAATCTTTACCAATGCTGTATAAATCTTCAAAAACTTACTTTTAATAAACGGTATCAGAGTGCAATACACATGAAACTATTTTGGATAGGATGGCTGATTCAACATTTTTAGATATACATATAAATTATAATGAGCGTAATATCTTAGTCCTAGTAAAATATGTCGATGTTATACCCAGTTAGAGCAGAAATAGCCATAAGCATGATATCCCTCGCACCAATAAGGTGTGCATTCTGATTAAATATAGGTTTCACAGTGTGGACGCCCATGCAGTCTGGAATGTCTTGTTTATTGGCTAGCACCAAGAGTGGAACCCCGGACAGATGCTCTGACGCTATCATTCTGTCTGAAACAAAGAAAAATATTATGATGTTGGTGTGCTTGCTATTGGTGGACTTCCTCTGGTCTCGTCAGTGGGGGAGATGACAAACTCAAACTCAAATATATTTATTACATACAATTTTAAAAATTATTTGAAAGCGTCTCCTGTGTAGACTCTAAAGTCATAGATCAACACACACAATGGCGATCTCTGTTTTGTCAAACATTTAGCAAACTAAATATATGTATACGTATCGAAAATCTCATATATGCCTGTGCCGATCTACAACCGCCTCATTTCCAAGGGGTTGAGCCTCATGATAAGAAAGGGCAAACAAATTTATGGCCACTTTTTTTTAATCAACAGATTACAATGGCATCATTAAATATACACAACACTGTTTTGATATCTGCCAGTATGTAAGTTTTAATAACAAAATGTAAAAAGGCAATAAAGAGAAAACAAGATATAGAAAGATAGAATAAAAAAGAAAGTGAAGTAAAACATAAAAAAATGGAAAATTAAATAAAAGACACTAGTCCACATCACTTTTCCACTAAATAGCCAGTACTAAATTAATCCCATTCTTGTCTTCTATGTGATCCACAATTGAGTAATAGGCTTTCTTTACGTTTTATTGTGGATTTAAATTTGTTTATACTAAAATCTTGTATACTATTTGGGATTTTATTGGTGTTGTAAAGAGTCCCGCTAATTGTTATTTTGTGTAGTGTGTGAAACTGAGTGCATTATCAGTCTTTTAATTTTATTGGGCTATCGGGATCGACATCCATAATACCGCGATGACCTTCACAGCCGCGGAATATCCTGACATGATGTTAATTTACCGGGAACTCTATCAAAACGTAGCTTTAGCTTTACGGACAAACCGAGGTATGGAATCAATCGTGTATGTCCTACAGACTGCTGAATTTTTGTAAGGGCGGTACAAAGATTACGAGATAACCACAGTACCTACTTTTTCAAGGAGTGACACGTACTGCCGGGTCCGAAGCTAGTCGAGCTTTCCCAAAATAAACACGTGAATAAAATCGTAGTTTTAATAAATTGATTTTAAAAAGCAATTGAAGTAAGTGATTACGCTGCCGTGTACAGTTCACCGACTCATGTTAACAATGGTGTTCTAATTCGGTAATAATTATATTGTATTTATTTTGTTTAAAATTTGCATTTCTGTATTTTCGTTACTAACTATATATTTTTAAATTTTAATGACGTATATTGAACCGTGGTAGCTGTTAATTACTTTCTCGTGATTACTTTTAGGACACTCGTTATATATTGACTTGCCACTGTCATTATGTTTATTTCTTAAAAAAAATGCCTTAATGAACAACGATTGCCTAAATTATAAATTGCTCGAATCGCTCTATTTCGCAGCACAAAAATAGTTTAAATGTCGGCAGCATTCCCCCAAATTAGAATACCGTACGACATTCTGCTATGAAAATAACTGAAGTAAAAAAGTCATGCTGTATCAATATCAGTCCATTCTCGAATATTTCTAACTGCGTGCGCTGCTGAGCTGAGTCTACTCGATAATTTATCAATATATGGGCCTTACTGTAGCTTAGAATGTAAGGATATTCTTAAAAAGTAGTTGTATCCACAAGGTTTAGCTCGCCATCCTTAATCATCACAGTGGTTTTCACTGGCTTGACGTTTAGCATGGTGAACCGTATACACTTAGATTGTTTTCCTTCAAAAGCAAATTGTTAACGTCAAACCAATGAACCACTTTTGAAATGGCGTTGTTTAAGTCTGTGAAATTAGTAAGTGTGCGTTTAAATCTAAATAATAGTAATGTATCATCTGGAAACAACACAATGTCGTGATTATCCTTGACAAGGTAAGGTGTTATTAATAAATACTAAAAACAAAAATGGGCCGAGAATAAAACCTTGTGGCACGCCCATTTCTACCACGGAACCAGGAGATCGCTCATCGTTAATATCAACATTCTCAATCCTATTAGTTAGATATGAAGCAAGAAGATATGAAGAAGAAACTAGCATCACTTGTGGAGCGACCCCTTGTAAAACCAAATTGTCTATTGTGTAATAAATTATTGTTAAAAAGATTATACAAAAAGCTTTGTCAAGTTTTGAAACTTAAGGTTTTAGGTAAGGTAGGTTTTTTTTACGGAATAGGGGGGCAAACAAGCAGACGGGCAGACGGATCACCTGATGGAAAGCAACTACCGGCGCCCATGAACGCCTGCAACTCAGGAGTAGATATTTTCCATGTACATACACTTTTTAGGTATTAATAAGAGGTAAGTTAGCAGCTTAAAAATTGTTGGTATAGCATTGTCACAAAAAAGCTCGAAAATTCGAGAAAGAGTGACTTATAACCCTGCAAGAATAATTTTAATAACATACATATATTATTAAAATTATTCTTGAACGGTTATATGAAGCCTCTCTTTGGCGTGGCACTGAACAATGAGTTAAGACCGAAAATAGGTTGTCACATGATTATCTTGATTACATTTAACACCTACTCCTAAATCTGGTATTACTCAGAAACCAAAAGTGCTCATAGCATAAGGATTCAAAATAGATGGAATGAACGTTCTAGTCGTCTGGCGAGTATTATAAATGTATTTTCTATTAATAGTGAGATAAACATCGAAGCGATCTAAGCGAATAGAAGTATAACCCAGCGAGGTCGTCTATCATTCTTGACTATTATACAGTATTGTTTGAACATATTTAAGTGTGGTAATAATAAAGTCTCTTTAGTCGTCAGAAGGCTTATTATTCCAAATCAACGAACCTTAACACGTAGCAGCATAATATATCTAGTTTTATACAGTCTACAACAAGTCCTATTGAATTATTATGTAGACTAAACAAATATTTGTCATTTATTTATATGTTATCTTTTACTTCAAACCCAATATGGATATGGCGATGTTTATATACTGCTGAGTTGATAACATTGCATCATTCTTTTGAACAAGTTTTTATATTATTAAGGTGGCAAACAAGCATACTGCCAATCACATTGTAACCATTTCACTAAAAGTTATATAATTCTTAAGCTTTGAATTTTTTAAGTCACCACAGTATTGTACCTGAGGTAGATGTGAAGCATAGTTTAGATTAAGGAGGAGGTAAAGAAGAATACTAGGGTGAGCCTAACCATGCTTCAGTTTATTTGATTTTTAATTTTCTGATTATGGTGGCAAACCTTGGAGATGGCTTACAGTCTTCTTGCCAGCAGTGGACATCTTTTGGTTGAGATGATCATGATAATAGTTTAAAAAATATAATTATTATGTTGTACTTAGTTTCAAAATTAACAATAGCAATTATGTTATTCACTTATTGATAGTAAAAGTTCCTAGAATATTATAGTTTCTGTATAAAAGTTATCTAAAAGATAATTTAGACAATCAGATTGCACTTATACATATCAACTTTAATGGTGATATTTAGTTAAAATTTACCTTTTCAAACATGCCAAATAAATTTCCAGCCTGATTTATTATTATTGAAGATATTATTATGGCTACGTAGTTACAGCTATTTTCAGCCTTACCCTAAATTAAAGCCACCCGTACGGGTTAATTCTCTCACTTAAGAGCAGAAACGTGAAATTAACAACATTTTTCCCAATGACTAAGGATGAGGTTTTTTAAGAATATAGCGTTAACTAACCAAAGGTTTCTTTCGACTCCGATATTCTTTCTCTGTCCGATGAGTCTACTATGTAAATGACAGCATGACATTCAGCATAATACTGCAATTAAGAAAAAAAATTAATTAGTATATTCAATATTGAACCTTATTATGAAATATTGAACCTTAATATTGAACTTAATTTGTATGATTTTGTTAATTTTACTAAGCTTACTTAAGCTATAAAGCTATTAAGCCTTAAATGGTTAACTCTAAATTTTAAGTGGTAAGTAATAAAGTTAAAGATTTAAAGTGACTGATCATTTTATGATTCAATTACTTAAAGTCATTAACTGTAGTAATTAACTGTTCTTTTGAATTTATGTTAAAACATTTTACTTAATTTTCCATATTGCCAGAAACATAGAATGCAACATCTTTTGCTATTTTCTCAAATAAAACTTTTTGGGTTTCACCTTTGATAAGCCACACCGTACAGTGTTTTTTTTACGCACTGTACAGCAGAGCAGTGTGTCAAAGGTTAAGGGTTTTATTTTTGCCAAAGCATGGCCGCTGTGTTTTTCTTTGCTAACATAGCATAGAGTTAATTCTATTGGGTGTTGCTCCGCAGCTACAATAATAGCTAGATCATTTTCATATATATAGCATATGACAAGATCATTAGAAATGAAAGATGTGCATAAAACAATGTTTTTTATGATATAAGGCAGATATTTCGAACTACTTCCAAATTCACCAATAAGGTGTATCAGAAATATGATAAAATATATGCATTGTAAACGTTGTTAATTCCTCCGTTATAAATGATCTCTGTTTACATAAATATTTTTTATATTTAGATTGGTAGGACCAGTTAATTCAACTAAATAAACTCTTCAGTTATGTAAAATAAATGACATTCATCAATACATACCTTGTCCCACAATGATTGTAGTTCTTGCTGTCCACCGAGGTCCCAAAAATTTAGCCTTACACCATCTACGTCTATTTTGCCTATATTTAAACCAACTGTGGTTGTTATTCTATTAGGGTTCATAGCTTTATACTTTTTCGTAAATTTTGTTTTAGTAGCCTCCAGATACGTCTGAAAAAATTAATAATTTATCACTTTAAATAATGTAAATGAAATACAATAATCGTAATACAGAGAATTTAATACCGTTTTGCCAGCATTGTCAAGTCCTAATATAAGTACACAGTATTCGTCTTTTTGAACTAGGTATTTATAAAATCCATGCACTAATGTGTACATTTTACAACATTTTCTGAGTTAGAATATCAAAATACCAAAAATAAATTTAAAACTCAAAATAAGTAAACGTCACTATGTCACATCCATCCACTGTGAAATGTCAGTACAATTATACATTACTTTTTAGACATTACTATTCTTTCTCTTTCTATAGTACTAAAATCGAAGGACTGCTTTATAACCAAAGCTTCAAATCATGTTTTAACAAATTAGTTTAGGTTGGAACGCTTGACAAAATCACAGTGAACAGTGAGTGAAAGAAGTAAGATTTATCATTCGATTTTTTCGTACGTAGGTTTCGATTACTACTTACTCACGCGTTGTTGCCAATAAGCTGTTTTCAGACGATGCATAAAGACCCTATATCGACTATTCAACAGTAAATCTAGTAATTATTTTATTTTATATATCTACGCTGCCCTACATAAAAATTTAAAAAATTCTAGATTTATTTACTGTTAAATTGCGTCTAACCAACTCATCTAGCAACCCTAACCTACCTACCTAATCGCATGATAAATCACAGTTCACTGTGATTTTGTCCCATGTCTACTTAGAGAACAATTTAAATAACCTATAGAAGTAACTAAAATCGCATGTGATTGGATTGCGAATTTGTGAAAATGTAATATATGCAATATAAACGTATCTGATGCTACCAATTTTATAACTGTGTCGTGCTCTAATGCTGTATGCAGAGCTGCCATACTAAATACCGATCAATTATATCTTAAAATGAAATACTCCCTAGAAGAGCAATTTAAAACAGGTACTCAGGAGAGATAAAAGCTACTGTTTTTTTTATGAAAACTGATGTACGAATACTGTTTCTTGTGTACGTGTTGTAGAATGTCATTATTAAGATGTGTTTATGAATATTTTCACTTAACTGTAATTTGTGCGCTTAATAAATAAAAGAGAAATGGTTAAAAACAAAAGTTTTGCTAACACAAAATAACAAGACGTTTCTAAAATTACATTCAAGTGGAAATAACAGAACATCTTAATACCACAATTTTACAACACACGCAACGCAATAAACAGTATTCCTTCATCAGTTTTCATAAAAGACAGTAGCTTTTATCTGTCCTGAGTACGTGTTTTAAGTAGGTCTGCTAGGTAGTATGCTCCGAAGCAGTGTGGCTCTGTATTACCGATGCTCATTATTAAGTTAGTAGCGATAACGGCATAAGTAGGTATATTATGTACGTTTGACGTTCATTATTTTAAGATATAATTGATAGGTATTTATTATGGTGGCTCTGCTGCAGAGCACGACTCCTACGATTGCATGTGTAAGGTGCTACCTAAAGAAGACACGTGACACCATTTACCGAACAGTTTAAAAGCTTGTCTCCAAATGTCATTATTGTCAGTATACGTGTCAGTAATACTAAAATAGGTAAATTATACTCTTATTGATTACGTCAAATAATTCTACATAGTTTTTTGTATGTATATGTGTTAAGCGGTCAATAAAAGTATTGGACGACTATTTTAAAACAATCACCATACTCAAGACACCAAGATTTACCAAAAAATTTTCTTTTTCAATTTGCTACTCTAAGAAGAGATAAAGATGGGACCGAAAGGAAAAAAATTGGATGATAAATTATCAACCGTAACTACCGCATCCTCATCTTATACAGATCCACCTCGATTCGTTAACTTCACTGTAAGACTGGAGGGTGATCCTGGCGCTGAATTTATATTTCTAACAATATTAGATGGAGCAATCGTTTTTGAAGGAAAGTGGGCAGATGACGCTGAATTTGAAATGGAAACTATGCCACTTAACCTAAATGATCCGGGTATACAAGCATTGATCTTGTCGAATCCAATTATTTTTCTATTGCGTGCAATTGTCGCTAAAAGCGGTAAACAAGACCCAGATCCTCTATTCCATACTGACAACCGGGCTGGTGGAACTGTAGATTTATTACCTCTTCTTATAGGCGAGGAAGAAGTATTTACGACTGTACATCTAGTGTCTATGAATACGGGAGAGTTTATTGGGTGTCAGGTTACAGTACATGCTGTTTCACCAGGAAAAATGGCTACCAAACTAATTCCTTTACAACTTACTATGATTTCAGCAAACTGTATGCCTTTAGCCAAAGAGGGTACTGATTATATAAGTGCTATAGGGTTAACTGACTTAGTAAAACCACATGGCTTACAATTTTATCAGACTCTTAGTAGTCCTGAAGCTAAGAAAGTGGTTTGGGCCACGGCGAGTCGAATTGGTCAAAGTGCAAATACAGCGTTTAGCATACCTGAAGAGGATCATTTTATTCCTCCAGATCTAGAAATTAAACCGAATAGACATTGCCGTTCATTGTATTGGAACGCCTTAAATCGAGTATTAGTTGAACCTGATGAGTTACTGGCAAGGTTATCTTCTCCATTTCTAATTGATGTGGCAGGTGTACCAAAAGTAGGGAAACAAGAGACTCGGGGTCACTTTATAGGATGGGTTGATGCAGGTGTCCTATTAATACCAGGAACTTTTAGTGTTACAGTATGCACTAAATTATTTCTTTATAATGAAATTCAAGCCGAACAAGGAGGTGGCGGAATACTTAATCTTCCACCGTCAAGTGCTAAAGGAGTAAGTGCACGTGAAAATGAAGCAGTATTAGATGAAAGTGGACATAACGCTTACGTTGTAATCAGGTTTGATTTAATTGAGCCAATAGTTCCAAAAACAACATTAGATTACCTTTATGATTCTATAGGATTCAGTCCACCCGTTGGACCCGGTTGGGCTATTGAGACATTAGACATCGAAGAAAAACCGTATGATCCTTTTGTTGACGTCGGGGTTATGAGGAGAGAAAGTGGTGCTTTAAAAGTCCATAGAGAATTGAGCAAGTTAACATGTATTGGTGGGGTACATATACCGATGCAAAGCATAAAACGAACAGCTGCTCATCGTTTGTTAACGCGAATAAGAACAATGATCAAGAATTTTCCGCCTGGTGATTGTTCTTATATTGATTGGCAGGACACGGTAACAGGACAACATGCCGCAAGCAGACGAGCAGTAACTGCTTCTTTTGCTCCTCAACCGCCACGACCACGTTTACCAGAGCGTGTGGCACCAGCTAGAGCCCGTATAGCCGGGGACGATAGACTTGCTGAAAAATATGTACAGATGAACCTTAAAGTTGCTGGGAGCCATCCACGATCATTGATCTGTAAAATTTTACGTTGTTTGGAAGACCGAAATGATCTGGATGCTAAGAATTATTTACTTGAAGCTTTAAATAGCTCGACTAGAAATAGGTTTCTTTTGTGGATTTTAGGTGCTCAAGAATTTGACAAAGGAGAAGAAGAAGCCATAATAGCAAGAAATGCATTTCAGATTGCTGTCAAAGGTGATAACTCAGATGGGACTATTAATGCCATAGCCTATGCAGGCTTACATGCCATTTATCATGCCATTGGCAATATGTATGGTGCCCATATATCAGCAAGGAAAATGAGGAAATGTTATAAACTACCCAATGAATGGGCAAAAGTTTTAAATCGCTGGAGTGAGACTAGCGGTGAAGAAGAAGTTTTTTGGACGCCTACGGTAATTTCAACCGAAAATCCCATGTTGATTGCGGCTGCTATGTTTCTTTGTCTTCGATGTTATAAATTATGCGAGAGGATTCTAGAATGTGTTGAGAGGAACTGTGCCACACGCGGTAGTAATATAAGTCACCATCCGCAAAGTGCTGATGTCTATTATTTGAAATCAGCATTATTTATTTTAAGACGTCAGCTAGACCGCGCCATGGATGTTACTCAACAAGGCATAAAGAAGTTTGGTCCTTCACCTTTAATGTCTCAAATGCGTTTGACTTGCCTATCTTGCCTAAATAAATGGGATTCGGAATGCGAAAAAGCTTTTAAAGAAGCAGAAAAAGCAGGTTCGACGCCATGCCCATCTGTTTTGTATAAAGCTGCTTTTAATAGATTTAAAATAGACCCAAAAGAGTCTTTGCAAAGAGCCGCTCTCGTACATAAGTTAGCTCCATCAGGCCATACAGCGTTGCTCCTTGGCAGAATTTATGCTAAATTGGGCGAAGATGACCTTGCTGAACGCTGGTGCGCGGTTGCAGTTAAACTTGAGCCTTTACTGGCAGATGCTTGGGCAATGTTAGCTCTATTAGCTATGTACCAGATGGAATTTGACAAAGCTCGAACCATGTTGCGCACTGCAAAGCAAGCCGGTCCAATTAGCTCAGATATTGATAAGAATTTGAAAAAAGTTACGGCAATGGTTCAGTTAGATCTTTTGCCTGATTCACTTGTCAAAAATTTGTGTATGGAGAGCAAATTTGACTAAACAACTTGAAAATTGTGTACATCATTGTTTCAATATATTGTTAATATTTCTTTATTTGTTTTTACATTGAATTGTTAAAAATTCTTTGATGCTATACTCGCAGTACTTCTTGTCTCGTTCTGGCACTTTCCTCCAGTTCCTTTGTTAATTCAACTCAGGTCAGTGAACTTTACAAGACGGATTTTACAAATTTCGTATCTATTATGGAGAATACCGAGCTTCGCGCGTCTATGCATGATTCCTAGTGATGTTTTACTTTATCCTTAGCTTCCTGATTACTCAAACAGTTGTGATGTTTAACACACTAAATTTGCAGAGCCACCATTGTTTTACGAGGGTAGCTATTGCATTCGTAAGAATCAATTTTCGTAGTACTTTTTCCATTCTGATTGTAGTATCTCCAAAACATGTATTTTGAACGCATCAACAGCCACTTCACGGCTTGAAAAACGTTGAACATGTAATTTTATCCTGGTGCATCTTCTCCTTTTGTTACAATGTTGTCTAATTTCCTTTTTAGCTGTCGAAATTTAAAGGAGAAAGTATTTTAAAATAAGCAAATAATAGAGCCCGTCTCGCATTTGTCATATTATTTTTTAGATTAGTTCTAGTTACTCAAAAATAACACTGTTAAACAAAAATATAAATACCGCAAAAAAGCATTGCTTGCTTAAATAAAAACAAATCATTCTTTAACAGGAATGTCTGGATAACAGCACGTGGTTTCACTTGTAGTCATGTTTTGAAGATGGTTGTTGTTGTTTATGGGACTGACATAGTCAATTATGGCTCAAAGTCCCTCAAGCATAATTAAAGAATTTAAAAAAAAAAGATGGTTGTTACTAGTCTGTTGTAGCGTAAAAGATTTATTGTAGGACAAATCCTCACCTCAAAAAGCTCAAGAGTTTGTTTGACTGTTGTTGAATGTGGTCTGGAATAAGAAAAAACAACTTATACATTTGAGATTACATTTTTCTGAATGTTTGATCTCAATATCAAAGGGCACTTTAAATCTTTGCATCTGAAAAACAGTATTTATGTGCTCTCAAAGGTTGTACCTATGTACAAAGTCGTATGTAAGAATGCCTAAACGATGCCGACGATGACCGATAACGATTTTGCGGATCTCATCCCATAGGATGAGATCCGCAAAATCGTTATCGGTTTGAATCGGAACAGAATTTTTATACATCATAATGTATAAAAATTCTGTTCTACAAATTGAATAAAAATGTTTGTTTAATCTGAATTTAGGATATAGGAAATAATAATAATTGAGGAACAGTTTCCAAAATCCTCCTTTCTAAGCAGAAGCCTATCTCCAGCAGCGGACTATTAAAGGCTGATCAAGATGATGGTGAGTGTCTCGAAAACTAGCTATTTCGCAGTTCGGAAGTCATTCAGGATGTACTAACAATATAAGCATTATAAGCAATTCACTTAGCATCAAGATATTAGGTTGAGGATGTAGAGAACATATTTTTATACACTACGATGGCAAATAAGCACATGGCCATCATTCATAGTAGTGGCCATTGTCCATAACTGCTGGCGTCATAAGCAATAAGATCGTCAATACATTATGACATATCTCAGTTATACTCGTAATCTAGATATCTAACACAGATTACTTTATATTACGATATCTAAAGATTTATCAGAAGCAACAAGGAAAATACATATGATTTATTTTTTGAGGAAGTCTCTATGATATTTTTAGTTTTCAATGTCATCCTGATAGTCATCTTGAATGTGTGAAGAAAATATTCGTAGATGATTTCCTTTGTAATAACTAAAGGACTGGACTGGACTATACGATGAGCAAAGCAGGTATACTAGGTTCCTTGAAATAGTTATTATTGAGAATATTCTTTCACACTTGGATATTTGTAGGTACGTCACAGACACAGTTTTCACGATGAATTGGCACAAATGGCCAGGCTCGACCGGAGTGATACCACGGCCTCACAGAAAACCAGCGTTAAGCAACTCTTTCGGTGCTATTCACCGAGTCGTGAAGTCAACGGGACCAAACCCCTCCTTGTTCTAATAACTTCACACATCTCAAACATGGCTGTCTGAGTGCTAGTTGATGCTAACGAATGCTAGTTTATTTCACATCAACTCCATCGTCACGGTGATTGGTCAGCACTGAAATTCCACAAATCGCAAAGCCAAACGCGCTCGCCGTCGAGAGCGTGTAGAAGTCAAATATTTGACATTTGGCTAATTGTTAGTTTATTTTACGTTTACTCGATCATCACGGTGACCGCATTTGGTGATTGGCCCGCGCTGAAATCTTCAACCAATCACAACGCCGAACGTGCACGCTGTCGAGAGCGAGGAGAAGTGAAATAAACTTACAGTAACTCAGATCCCAAACTAGGCGGAGCCATACATAACATACTTATATACATATTTCTAAATACATATATGTATATTATAGATAAATGACACGAAGACACAGAACAAATGATCATCACACAATATTTGTCCTGGGTGGGAATCGAACCCAAGACCTCCGGCTTAGTATTCAGGGTCACTAACCACTACGCCAAAATCCGAAATCCATTCTTTCACAAACGATTCGACACTGTGGCAGCGCACTGTACGCAATGCTGTTTCCTTTAGAGAATAGCACTGCTGGTCGAAACGTCAAGCACTTTAAAGATACATACTTAATTAAATTAATACCTTTCGTGAGCGTCAACATAATTGTATATTATGGAACGCAACAGCTTAAAAGTTAGTAGATCCGTATCAGACTAAGTTTGTTTTAATTTTAGTCTTTGCCGCACGTCTTTCTTAGGCCCGGTATCCACCAAAGCAGAGAGAAGACGAGAGGAGATGTGTTTTGAATAACCAATCAGATTTCCACTCCTCAACTTCGCTTAGCTTCGGTGCAAATGAATTAAGCAGGAAAGAGTAGATGTCTCAGTTTTGATATATATTTATATAATATTTCTACAGATTTTTGAGCATCGAGCCAGCAAGCGGCGCGGCAGAGCGGAGATGTGTGTAGTTAGCGGCCAGGCGGGCGCCCGCGCTTGCGCGCTCCGTTCCCCGCTGCCTTCTCCCAGCAAACTCCTGAAATAGTGGGGCATATTCGCCATGACTGTGACTTTTATATGGTTTCTTATCCAGAATCTATGTTGCCGTCGATTTCTATATTCTTCAATATTGAAATTATCGCCGCGATTAATCGTATTCCTTCAACCTCTAATTCCTCTTCCTCAAGCAAATTAAGATATAACTATCAAAACGAAATGACGTCGTCCTTTCGTAGCTACAGTGACTTGACAGTACAGTACAATACTTCACTGGTTTCGAGCTCTTACAGCATACATCTCTGCTACACACAGCTCACATCTCCTCTCCACTACGTATCTCCTCTCAGCTTTGGTGGAAATAACCTGCCAGCTTCACAGCACATCTCCTCACACAGGCACACAACAAATAATCGTGCTCGTCACACAATATTTGTCCTGGGTGGGAATCGAACCCACGACCTCCGACTTAGCAGTCAGGATTGCTAACCACTAGGTATACCATCATTGCCGGCCACGCAAAAACTACTAAGTTCTCTAAAGCTTGAAAAGACTTCTTAATAGATATTGTCAAAATTGCTCCTCGAATTAGGTAAGTGATTTCCGCCACTCGTCGACACATCGACACTCGCAACTCAATATCGACAGTTGCTGCCCTTTGAGTTAACCTTCCCTCTCGATAAAGGTGAGGAGGAGGTTTAAGCCTCCTGTAACCTCACTTCTTCGGTGACAAGTAACGTAAGAATTACTTACGTGGTGTCACTCCATTCAAGCCTGTCAATTTGTGTCGAAGCTTGACTCTCCCACGATTTTATTTATCTTAGGTTCTACAAATTTAATTTTAAAATATATATTTATAAATATGTGGCACTCTTTTAAGGTCATAGCTCATTAGAGCCACCAGCCTCGCCTCCTGCGGTTAGTATTTTTTGTATGGAGTACTAAGGGTAAACGCTCAATACATCAATTCCGGAGCGCCTCGACGGCGGGTTGACCACGCGCGGACGGCTAGTGGACCACTAGTCACCCGGGCGCTGTCCGCGAGTGGTTCACGCGCGAGGACGATGCATTGGCAGCACATCACTCCCCCTCGAACGTATTCTGGTTAATAACGCGCCTACCAACCGTGGACCACCGGCGATAACGAGTGAACACCACAGTGAGTAGAGGTTAGAAATTCAAAGAAATCATTCTAAAAATGCAATTCAATTGATTCAAATTCTATTCAATGTGGAATTGTGGGGTAAAACTAGTAATATTACCTACAATTTCCACACACAATGGAGAAACATAAAGAAAATTTTACAGTTACGTTGGCCGTGAGAGCGTAACCTACTAACTTCACACAAAAAGTGTCAACTAGTTATTTATAGCCGCTGCCCACTCGCTACAACGCAACGTGAACCCATCTATCTCAGTCAGGATGAATATAGGTTAGATTACAATAACAGACCGATATACGCGAACTCTTATCACGATACAGCTTATCGTGATAACGGTGAATCGACTTCCAATTTGCCTTAAGCAATAATTTTCTGAAAACACACCTTAGTCACAAAAAAAGGAGTACCAGTTCGAATTCTTAAAGATAAAACAGCGGTATAAAGATAAAACTGTCTAATGTTTAATTTCGTACAGTCAATCGTGTCGTTGCATCATTTGTGTCGTGAAACTCGTGAACTGCGTTCTCTGCACTGTACATAAACATTCCCGCCGCCGGAACGGCCGGAGTGATCACGGCCGCTCTTTGTTTTGTGACGAGTTTTTAGCGAGTTTTCTGACATGTGAACATACAAAACACAATGGCTCTCTCAACGAATTGCTGGAAATATCTTGTTTTAACCTTCAATGTTTTATTCGCAGTGAGTATAACTTTGTTTTTTTGGAAATAAAAATGATTTGTTGCTGAATATTGTGGAATCAGCACTTTACTATTTTGTTGTCATAACAACATCGTAAAAACAGTCGCTCTTCTTCTGACAACATACAATGCCATTTCTTTTAGAATTTATAAACCCACCTTATTTGTTTTTGCTTAGTTTGTAAGAAATTCTGACACAAAAATTAATAAATCTCTATAATTACAGCAACTTTCCGATCAGAGTGCATTGTACTAGCAATCAATATAATACAACTAAAATAAAATGTACCGAGCTGAAATCACGATTGTCGCTAGTTGCGTATGATAATGTTTTTATAAAATGAGGAATGACATAAGTTTACACTGACAAAAGTGAAATTGAATTTAGTCGGTTAGCCTTGTTTCACCTTAAAGTTTCTGTTTTTCTTCAACAGATGTCAGCTGTAGTATTATTTGGAGCCAGTGGATTTCTTTTATACAGACTTTTTATTTACCGACATTTCATAGGAATAAATGTTGAATACCCCGCCATATTATTATTGATGATGGCTATTATCACCTGTTCTGTTGCTTGGATAGGTTGGAGGACAGCAATGTCAATGCACCAGATTCATGTTATCATCGTAAGTATTTAATCAATTTAGCTAATGTTGGTGTGAATTATTTAAAATGCAGTTAAGGCTGTATAAAGTGGTTAATGGATTAAAGATCGGTGTGCGTTAGTTCCTAATGTCTAGGCATACCATCTCTGACCGTATCTACCCAAGAAAAAACAAGATATTCACAATGCCATACACAAAAAATAAGACTGAATAAATCTTGTTTTTTGTGTAAGAGTCATGAGTTCAAGTTTGTTTTTATTATTTCTCGTATGCTGTTGGAGTACCTACGATATTAATGCCTAGTCGTCTTTTTAAAGAAATGGATTTACAAATGTTTAACAATTAAGTCTGACAGGAGAGCGGAGAGTGGAGTGTTGGTAGATATGCAACACTACGTGCAAACCTAATGTTGAAAAAAAGCCCGGTCCTAGATAGTCTTATACCGAACCGTGACCGGACCGGACTTTTTTTGTTATGAAATATAAAACCAACTTGGTGAGGAACTACTGGATTAAGTAAAACATATTACTTCCACCAATCAATGATCCAGACCGCCCCAACCATTGTACTATATAGTTTAGTAACTTTTATCTATTCTCAAGTTGTGGAAAGAACTTCTCATTGCTGGTGTGTGCTACTTGCTGTGTGATTCTACAAGACGTGCTAAATAATATGCCATAAGTTCGCCAACATGAGAATACCCTTCGCAGCGTGCCGTGTCTGCAGTGCCTCCCCTCAAGTAATAATCGGTATCTTGCTAATCATGCAAACAGTAGGAGTGTAAACACTAAATGACAGGATATCAAGACCTTAACTGCAACTTTTGCAAACCAGCGATTAAATATTAATAAGTATGTTATATAGCTCATTACGAATTCATGCTTAAACTGCATTGTCATGCGATCGGTACGGCCTGATTTGCGCGTTGCTAAGTATGGAGTAATTAATTGCTTTTCTTCTGTTAATCCTTCAGTTTTTTTGGCGTTAAATTTATCCCTGGACCTGAAAAAGGTTTATTTAACTGTAGCATTTAAATATTCATAAGTTTTTTTGGGGAATTAAAAAGTAGTCACTGACTCTCTGGGCGTGTGATGAAACTTAGTATGTTTTTATTTAAAATAGTTGGAGTACTTTATTATAGCAATACTGTGATCAACAGCCTAGGTTTACTAATGGGGAAACGGTGCCCCTCTAACACGAAGGACGATCCTCTGACCAGGTGAGGTGATCATGCCGAGAAGTTGTACACATACATAATTGTATGTATACTAATAGGAGCGAGAATTTCCATAGAGCGCTGCAAGAATAGTAGTACTCCGTAGTCCGGTGTGTTCTTTGTTAGATGGTATTGATTGGAATGGTTATGTTCTGGAAGTTGCACAATAAAAACTTCACCATTTACGGAATTATATTTGTCCGATTCTGCAATGATTTAAATGATCTCTTTCCAGACTGGCATATTACTAATCATCGTGGTTGTCATCGAATTCTCCTGCTTCGTGTGGGCCATGGTTGTGTGGGACAATATTGAGATTGACATCAAGTCTACTATCATGAGGTATTTCGAGACCTCGTTGGCTAATACTGACCCCAATTCTGTGGATATGATCAGATGGGATAGATTACAAGTTAAGGTAAGAAATTATTTAAGACAGCCTATAATTTACAATGCGGTCTCGTAGGCTTATTAATTAATTTTTCACGGCTTGCAATCATCAACTTTACGCAAGGACTCCTGTGCATGGCATAAACTGATCCCAATTTTATTTCTACGTTTATCATTTCTTTTATCTATTGTGTTGGTGATCATAAATACGACCTTGCCTTATGCCTGGACTTATTTACTTCTATAAACTAACTAACAAATACACTATCAAACAAATTACGTTATTCAATTGATATTTTAGAACGCAGAGGCCTTGTAGTTTCCGCTGCCTAAAGCCTTCGTCTTATCCTGTCGTTTCTAAAAATTTTGTATGGCATTTACCAGTGACTGTTTTTAATAATATGTTCCCAATATTTTGTTTGTGGGATTAATTAAAATAGCTGGTGCGATATAATTGGCAAATGCTAGTTTCAGGTCCTTAATTTGGGACTTTTATTGATTTATTTCTAAATATTCTGTTTTTTTATCTGTTTGACAAATATGGGGAAGAAATTTTATTTATAGTACTTAGTAACTCTGCGAAAATAACATCCATAAAATACCTATAGTAAATTGCTATTTTTCCAAATATTAGTCCTTACATGAATTTTACTTAAATATTAAGATAAAGAAAAGAAAGAGCAGAAGAGAGAAGCTTAAGGCAGGAAGAACTAAGTTAGAATAAGCTCTTTCAAGATACATTTTTTTTTGTCGTAAATCCTAATTTTCTTTTGTAATTTGTTAAATAAGGCATCTGTTTTGATTAGTGACTGTTTGAGTTGACCACCCAACTCCCGGTGTTGCAGTCGAATGCATAAAATGCATTACCACTTAGCAGAGCTCCTCAATTGAGTGTCTTCCTCCGAGCCAAACCAGGTTGGGGTCTACGCTTACGTCTACGTTTTGGCTTTAAGTCTACACCGATACGGCTGAACTACGATTTTTTAAGCGGAGCGACTGCCATCAGGCTTTTACAACACACGTACTAAGCGATATCTGAGTAGAAAGACTGTTTGTCGGACTTTTTAGGGGTCCAACTACCCGTAACGATTGCAACAGATGTTCGTATATCAACCGGGGCTTACGGCTTAACGTGCTCTCGGAGGGAGGGGTCTCAATGTGTTAAGAATGGTCACTCATCCATAGACTGACCTGGCTAGGATTGCTTAACTTTGCAATGTGCCGCCATTGAGTGTATGGAGTTAAATACAGTTAATAATATTAAATATAATTTCCTCTTTCCAGTTTGAATGCTGTGGCGTGACGGGTCCAAGCGACTACACATCAAAAGGCCATGTGCCTTTTTCCTGCTGTGGACAGGGACCATTGGATTCTATCCACAAGCCATACACATCGGAATGCACGATGTTGTTCCAAAGAGGCTGCGGTAAGCAGCTGCACGAGTACGCCAGAGAACAGCTGTTGTTAGTGTCCATGACAGCCTTGGCCGCATCTATCTTGCAGGTAAGTGTTTCTTGTGCTTAGATCATAGACAGTAAAACAAAAATTGACATAACAAAACGCGGTTGCGGACACAGTTGCTCTACTACACACTTCGGCCCAACTTAGCGCCTAGCGGTGTGACGTTTTAGGCTAAGCGAAAACTGTTCTTTATTTAGAAACGCAGAGAAAGTAGAAATATCGTACTATCTATAAGATAGTTTTAACTATGAGTTAAATGGCCCTGTAACAAACAATATTTAAAAAAATGATATTTATTTATTTTTTAGAATGTTCATCAATAGTAAAGATCTTTAAAACGAATTATTGACGAATCCTTTCTATTTTTCTCTATTTCATATTTAGAAAAAAAATTGAAGCTAAAAGAAAGAAAGATTATTTTTTTTATTGCTAAACAACAACAACAAACTTCTTTGGGCTAACAATTGACAATAAGCTAACATGGAAGCCACAAATTGATACGCTTTGTAAAAAGTCAGTAAGTCTGTTTACGCGCTACATGAACCAGCTCAAATAACTAATGTAAGTTCTGTTCTGACTGCGTACCATGGCTTGGTCGTCTCGGTATTAAGGTACGGTATAATTTTCTGGTGAAATTCAACGGATAGAGATAATATTTTCAAGCTGCAGAAGAGATGTGTTAGAGCTATGTTTGTTTTGAAAACTACAGATAGCTGTCGTCCATGCTTTTTTAAATACTTTGTATTAACTTTGCCCTGCTTATACATATTTGAAGTGGCTATGTTTGTTTAACGTAATCCAGGTTTATTTATGTTAGCTTCAGATTTATGTAACAGACGACAGCGAGATGTGCATTGACTTTGTGTGCGTAAAACTAATACTGCATTGTTGCGTAAAAGCATTTTCCATATGGCATCCCTTATATACAACAAACCAGTGAAAGAAGCAGACGTTAATATGTTCAAGAAAAAAATAAATGAATTATTAGTAAACAAATCCTATTATACTCTAACGGCTTATCTAAACGACAATTTACACGATTACATTTAAGCTAATTTATATTATTATTAGATTAACGTCTCTTTGCGAACAATACTCTTAATTTTCATTAGGCCTCGTTGCTTTGGTTGTAATAGCAAAACATTTGGATGACAATTCACTTACTATTTTTATTCTATAACTAGCTGACCCGCGCAACTTCGTGCGTCTCTCAATAGTAATAAATTTTCTTCGTTTTTGAAACATTCTTCATTGGTGCACCGCTCCTATTGGTCTTAGCGTGATGATATATAGCCTATAGCCTTCCTCGATAAATGGGCTATCTAACACTGAAAGAATTTTTCAAATCGGACCAGTAGTTCCTGAGATTAGCGCGTTCAAACAAACAAACAAACAAACTCTTCACCTTTATAATATTAGTATAGATTAACTACACTATTATGTTTTTTCTGCCCTATGACATCTTATTTAATTATAAGGTATTGACCTAATAAAGTTTTGTTTACTCTGCTTGACATAATTAATTATTTTGATTTTATTTAAAGTTTTCTCATGCCACTATTCTTGTCACAATATTTGTATCTTGAATGGGATTCACATTGACACAGGTAACACCATTTGTCACAATATTTTTGCAAATAAATATGATTCTGTTTCTAAAATACACGACAGCTAATAAAAAAAAGCAACTAATGTGATAATAATAAGACGATTATTTCAAATATGAAATATATATTATGGACATATGACTTTTATACATACCTAGAGATCGCTTGACGGTCGGCTACATACAGCTGTGTGTGGTCGTTTTTATATAATTTTGATCATTATAGTACATATTGTTTAAAAATATTAGCTTTTTCACGTATTAAAAGCGATTAATTCTTGACGTAGGAAATGTAGTTCGGATTGCCTACACTAGATGGCGCTGAGTACCTATCGTAGTTTATATCGAATTTCTGCATTAGTTGTACAGTGGCACAAAAAAATAATAAAAAAGTATTTGTACAACTGTTTTAATTTTAAAATAATTAATATATTGGAAACAAATCTGAACATTTATTATGCTACAAATTTACTTACAGTTAGTACTACAATTTGTATGTACTGTCTCCGTCTAACAGGGATGACAATCGGCCATCAAGACTACAAAAAAAAAATCACCGCTGTTTGCGTTGCTTCATAGGTCAGAGAACCAATTCTTTAAACTTAAAATACTGTTATCGCGGCTAGTTTATATACCTACTAGAGCGATGGAAACTGGTTTTAAATTCAATACCGATATTTTTGCTTTGATGATGTCATTCGTCTGGAGGGGTGACCAAGAGAACCCTATTGTTTGTCTCCGGAGCTTTCAATAACATTTTCTCCCCTAAGCACATACAAAGAACAGTTGAAGTTCGAGACAGATGTGTCGCATTTAATCTTTTATACGTACATGGACCTGTTTTTTAAGTTGTCTAAAAATAAAATTATTTATAAAATAATTGACGACATTCCGAACCGAATAGCCATCATCATCATCATCATCAGCCTATCGCAGTCCACTGCTGGACATAGGCCTCTCCCATTGCACGCCACTTAGATCGATTTTGGGCTTCTCGCATCCAGCTCCTGCCAGCCATCCTGCGCAAATCGTCACTCCACCTGGCCTGTGGGCGTCCTACACTACGTTTGCCGAGACGCGGTCTCCACTCAAGAACTCGTTTTCCCCAACGGTTATCGGTTCTGCGGCTAATATGGCCAGCCCACTGCCACTTCAACTTGCTGATCCGGTACGCTATGTCGGTGACCTTAGTTCTCTGCCGGATCACCTCATTTCTGATGCGATCCCTTAGAGAAACGCCGAGCATAGCCCTTTCCATAGCACGTTGAGCGACTTTGAACTTGTGGACCAGCCGTACCGTAAGTGTCCACGTTTCAGCTCCGTATGTCATGACGGGTAGGACGCACTCATTAAAGACTTTCGTCTTAAGGCACTGTGGGATCGACGATGAGAAGACTCGACGTAGCTTCCCAAACGCTGCCCAACCCAACCGAATTCTTCTGTTCACCTCGTCCTCGAAGTTGTTTCTACCTAACTGCAATGTCTGCCCGAGGTACACATAATTTTGAACAACTTCGAGAACGGCACCGTGTACCGCAATCGGTTCCGGTAGTACATGTTCGTTGAACATGACCTTGGTTTTATCCAAGTTCATCCGTAGGCCGATGCGTACAGAAGTGTCAGCTAAGTCATTCAGCATTTGCTGTAGGTCCTGCAACGTCTCTGCCATGATGACGATGTCATCTGCAAATCGCAAGTGAGAGATGTATTCGCCATTGATATTGATGCCACGCCCTTTCCAGTGCAGCGTCTTGAACATGTCCTCCATTGCATTTGTGAACAATTTCGGGGAAATAACGTCCCCTTGTCTCACTCCTCGATGCAATGGTACGGGCCTTGTTTGCTGATTCTGTACTTGGACGGACATGGTGGCGGCTTCGTAGAGACATCTCATCACTTTGATGTATCGCCAATCTACTTGGCAACGCTGCAGGGACTCCAGAACAGACCAGATCTCGATCGAGTCAAAGGCTTTCTCATAGTCCACGAATGCTAGACACAGGGGCTGATTATATTCTTCGGTCTTCTGTATAATCTGCCGCACTGTGTGGATGTGGTCTATGGTGCCATATCCGCTCCGAAACCCAGCTTGCTCCGGTGGTTGGAATTCGTCGAGTCTTCGCGCAAGACGGTTCGTGATGACTCTCGAAAACAGCTTGTAGACGTGGCTTAGAAGGGATATGGGTCGATAGTTCTTCAACCTGGTCTTGTCACCCTTTTTGAAGAACAAGACGACCACACTCCTACTCCACGCTTCTGGAGTTCTCCCTTCAAACAGGACAGCGTTGAAGAGCTTTTGGAGCTCCCTTAGTACGGGTTTACCCCCGGCCTTCAGCAGCTCTGTTGTAACGCCATCCTCTCCAGGGGCTTTTCCATTTTTCAGCTGTCCAAGAGCCATCTCGATTTCGTCAATGCTAACTTCTGGCAGGTCTTCGGTGTAGTGACGTGTTAATGTGGCTCTAGAGTCCTCATTTTCGGGATCAGGTCGAGATGCATGCGAAGCGTATAACCGGCCATAGAAGCTTTCCACTTCCAAAAGGACTGCCGGCTTCGAAGCAACGACTTCTCCACTTTCTGTAGTCAACTTTGTCAGGTGGCTTCTTCCAAGAGATTGTACGAACACTTTTGACCCCCGATTTTGCTCGATCGCTCTTTCAATTGAAAGAGTATTGGAGCACCGGAGGTCGTGTCGTACGAGTTTACTGATCTCTCGGTTTAGAGTCCGCTTTGCCGACAAAGTGACAGGTGGGTTTTCACGTCGTTTCTTCATCAGCCCTAGGGTCCTTTCTGAAAGCTTCGACTTCCTGCCCTTACGCTGCATTTTACAAAATCTCATACCTTCTTCCCTGAGGATCTGAACCACATTTTTGAGGTTCTGGTTTACGTCGATTGTGGTTTCCACGGCAGCGAATCGGTTTTCCAGTTTTGACTGGAACGTTTCAGATCCTGTCATGGCTTGGAGCCGAGTTGGTCGGAGCCTGGATTTCATCAAACAGACACGTTCCGCCTTAAAGTTGATATTCAGAGAGCCCCGGACAAGTCGGTGATCACTACCGGTATTAAACCTATTGATCACTGAGACGTCTCTGAATATGTGCTTTCTATCCGTCATGATGAAATCGATCTCATTTCTGGTCATAGCGTCGGGGCTTTGCCACGTCCACTTCCTTTGGGGCTGTTTCTTGAAGAAAGAATTCATCAAAAACAGCCCCTCCCGTTCGAGGAAGTTGACCAGCATTTGCCCCCTATGATTCCTGCTTCCAAATCCATGGGATCCTACTACCGATTCGCCGCAATTCTGTACTCCCACTTTAGCGTTGAAGTCACCCATAACAACGTTGTAGTGGGTCTTAGTTGTGAAGTGGAGGGCCCTCGATATGTCATCGTACATATCCTCCACCTCGTCGTCCGAATGTGCCGAGGTCGGTGCGTATACTTGCACAACCTTGAGGCTATA